AGAAGGAAGCAGCAGGAAAAAGACCTGAATAGGTGGTAAGTGCTGAAAGTAAGAATTTGGTAAAGTTTTCTTCCACTTCTCCCTCTGTCACCCTTTCGATTAAGTACTAGAGTCCAACCTCTGAGCAGCCAGCAGCCATGAATGGGATAAGGCATCTATTGCTAAATTTCATTTAGCCAGTGCTGAGGGTATGCTAGGAAGTCAGAGACAACTCCATGGCAATGATTATATACAGCACAACAGGAAATAAATGGCCAATAGGGACAGGCTTTACAAACATGTACATGCTAAAAGAAAAATACTTCAATGTGTGGCAAGATCAAAACCCCAGACTGGGGCAGCCACCTCAAAGTTACATTAATATACTCAGACTTCAGAAGATGGTTTTAGAGGATAACTATGCTTTGCTCCCATTTGGACCAGCATATGCTTTGGATAAATTTAGGGGCAAATTTGAGAAGGACAGAGAGGCAAGAGTTTCAGTGAAGATGGAGCAAGGGCTGTCATGTTTTAAAAAGTGCTTTCCATAAATACTTTTCTCCACTGTAATTACAGTCAGTAATACTGATGATATCAACTTTCTTGTTAAGAAAAGTAGTCAGCTTTTCCATAAACTTAAAATCCTCCTAAAGAAAAAAAGTATTGCTTTTCTTCTGTAACTGTGTGAAAGCTGAAAACAGTAAAAGGAACTTTCCACTTTTTTTTTAGCCAAGTCATTATTCCTTAACACAGCAGCATATAAACTAACAAAAGACTGCAGAGTACTGGAGGGAAATCAAGTATGGATAAGTTCTTTTGCTGTTTAAAACCATCTCTGCAACAAGATGCCCTTTTGGAAAGGAGTTTTGAATGTTCAGCACAAATAAGAACATTCAATTAAATAACCTGGACTTCATTCTCCTACTGAAAATACTTGCACATTTTTTTTCATAATACCTAAACCAAAATCTAAGTACAGATCCAAATTTCTCACCTTTTGACACATCATACTTTCCAGCCACCACCTCTAGGTCAGCTTGTTGCATCACCAGAGAAAAAGTACAAGTTCTGAAGGTAAAAGGGCTTTTTGCAAAGCTTTTCCAACTTCCCCTCTGAAAAGATATTTGGTACTGGGTGTACACTGATCTGACTGGCCTTTGAGGAATCTAAGATGATTTCCCAATCCAGAATGATCTTTAAGGACATCTGTATCTCCACCAAGTACAGAAGCAAAGAGTTGACTCTCACATGAGACAAATCAGTCTACAGGAATATCTACTTCAACAGACCTTCCTGTTTTCACATTTTACACATTAACTACCTGTGCAAAACCCACAAAAGCTACATAAATGGTTAAAGCAGACTGAACATCCTACCTTACTGATTATTTGAATGATCTCGCCTTCTTTAAAGCTGAGTTCATCATTTGAGCCTTCATAGGAAAATATTGTCCTGCAATATTCCTTGGCTGAAACAAAGCAGCACAATTAACCACATTTACTTACCATGGGTAGTAATATACATAATACTAGCTCGCTTACGGTGTCTGAACAGAGAGCTCAGAAATTAACACTATAATCATAGTTCCCTTCTAGACCAGCCATCTGGGACTGCTTTACATGTTCACTATGTTATCCACATCACAAGAAAAATAAGATTATTATATTTACAGAGCAATAGAGATAAATCTTTGTCAAGTCAGGACTTTAAGCTCTAAAAGATTTTTTTCTATAACAGCAACTTAATTCAAGTACTCTGACTTCAGAGGGAGAAGAGCCTCCTCAGTTAAATTATAACAGCCTTTCTAACCCTCTCCATAACACATATTCAGGTTTGAGCTACTTTAGACAAAAATTATTTCAAGCTCTTAATTGAGAGTTTATATGATATTTTTTTCAAAATTGATCTAAATTTCAAATTTGCAATCCTAATTAAATACATTCAAACATTTCAAGGTCACATTCTTTATTAACATGTATAATTACAGAAACTTCAAATACCCAGCTGAAATTCTGCAGTAGGCCCAAGTAACTGAAGCAAAGGAATTCCTTGGCTAAGCACCTGAAACCAGAGCTCATCTGAGTGATCAACTCAGACAACAACAGCCTCTTCTGCAAAAGTAGACAGAATAATTCCTTTCTTTCCATTTGGTATAGTTCAATAACTAATCCATTTAGAATAGTGATAAGGTTTTCAGGTGAAAAAGCAGGATTCATTTTACTTTCCCACGCTAGAATAAAAACAACGTGAAAGAGGCCAAAACACATTCATATAGAAGACTTGATTGCAAAGCAATTTTTGTACCCTTTTTAACCCCAGCACATTTAAAATAATTCAGCATATAAAAAGACTAGATTTCTGTATCGGACAGATTGAGGAAGAGGAAGCAAGCAAATGACTTTACTGTGCTGCCATAACCTAAACAGGTATTAGGCACTGACAACACGCACAGGTGAGCAGCTGGACCAACCCCCAGTTAGAGAGAAGCACACCACCAAGTAAGCCATCATCATGATCCTCTGCAAGTCTTAATGACTGCCTGTTGCTGGGTAGTAAGAAAAGAAATGAGTTGCAGTTGAACCTTTTTGTTGTTGTTGTATTTGTTTACTCAAGACACAAACCTTTAGTTAAAAAATGCACAAATTTGGTTAATTAAAAATCTACCTTGGTCAGCAACAACCGCTATGTTAAAATGTAAAAGTATGCCAAGATTAAGAAATAGATATAGCTATATAGATAGACATAGATATGTAACCACCTGAGTAATCCCAAGTACAAGAACTTGCATTATTTTACAGCCTTATCTAGTGATCAGAAATACTCAACTGTAGATTGACTATATTGTGGTTTATGAAGAATTACAAAACCATAGGAAGAACCGTGTCAGAGATGAATGTTTAAATCTAGGTCTAAAAGTAAAACCACACTGAAATAAGATTCAACAAATATCTATCAAATTTGGGGATTTTATTCATTAGTAATGAGTAAGTATATTACAAGTGTGATACATTTCTATACCTCCTGATTCTACGAAGATACTGGAGATTTGGCCTGTACAGAAGAACTACACAATCCTCCTTTTCTCCTCTCTTCCTCCATGCACTTCTCCGCTCCTCACATACACCAAGCCCCACAAGACAGAAACAGTGCCAGAAAGGGGACCTTTTGCTCTGCTCCAGCTGCCCAGAAGGCCAGGGACAGGGAGCCCTGCACCCTGCAGACCCCCAGGCTCCCCACGCATGCCAGGCTGTGAGCTCCAGCAGTCAGCGCCAGCTGAGAAACCCAGCCATGTACATTAAGACTATGCACAACTTGCCACTTCAGCACCTTATTTTACAAGTCTGAAATTCTGCCAGGAGTTAAAGATGAAGAAAATAGCCTGGTTTAGACTTTCAAGCATTTAAACCTAAAATGGTATTTACAAAACAGTAAATCTGAACTTCAGTAAATATTTTTAAAAAAAGGTAGTTTGAAATTGAATCTTTTCCAAGACTCAGTACTACCAATACAGTAGCAGCAATCACAAATGTTATTTTCTAACATAATAAGGGGAAAGAGGGGTCAAATGGTGATTATTTTATTTTTTAAACAAAATATTTTTACATACTTCCTCCAGAGGCCAAAATAAGCTTCACAGAAATAGCAGAGCCACACCACAAAATAAGCCACACTTAGTCTAAACACTTTGGAGATCTCTGTTTATTTGCTAACGTGCTGAACACAGTTTATTTTAAACTCGCTCTCTCAAAACTGAGGATTATATACATAAACTATAGTATAGTCTAAATTGAAATAAAAACATCAAGGAAAAAAACCCAAGCTTTCTTCAAAAGGTTGTAAGGTATTCTTAAATGGTGTCTATCTACTGACGTTCTCCTACAGCATCTATTACTATCGTATGTAAGTTCCTCTCTGATGTATTCTTTCTCTGGGGACCAGACACTCAGTATAGCTACTGGATTAGTCCATTTCCTGTGTTTTCAGCTAAATACTGAATGATCAGTGTTCAGTACTAAATGTTCAGATTTGTTAAGGAGAGTTATGTTAATTTTTATGCAAAGTTTCAGACAAGTCAAATATCCCAGTGCTCAGGGCTGCACATTGTCTTGTTGGAACTTACAGCAATAGCACTGGAATGGTTTAAAAGCAAGATCCCAAGATTATCCCAAATTTGATGTTTAGGGAAGACTTCAAAGTTGCAAGTTAGCAGAAACTTCCATCAAATCATTTGTATCATACACAAACTTTTAATATATGCTTTGTAATGGCAAAACATAAATATTACCTGCTCTCAACCCATTACATCAAACAGTTCTTGACAGTAATCATCTGTCTGGAAACATGGTCACACTATTTATAGCTATCCAATTCAGCAAAGCCAGAATATGACTAGAACAGCATGGATACCCTATACACTGCTAAAGCTACAGATAACCAGGGCTCTGACAAATGAACCTGCCATTTCAAGTGCCCTGTTGCATTATATTACACAACTCCTGAACACAACTAAAGTCAATTGTTTCTTGAAGTTTTCTTATTTCTGCAAATTATGCATTCCATCTAGACAACCCATTTATATCAAAATAAGGTATTTCCACATAAAACAAAAATATAAAAGCAAAATGAGCTGTCTACACATCGTATAATTGAGGTTAATTTTTTATATGGCATTGGCACTCCCACAAGATGTTTTGGGTTGGCTTAAAAATATCTCTTTATTTAAAACTATGCAGTTTGGTAGTTAAATGAAGTCAAATTCTTGGAGAAAATGAAAAAAGTTTTTATAAACAGAAACACAATGGAACTGAATTATCTAGGGAACAGACTTCAACAAAACATCAACACCAACTTTCTGATGCAAGCAGCTTCACAGTTTGACAGTTATGAGAGCACACTAGCAACTCCACAGTAAATCCTAAGCCTAGAAAGTAACTTCTATAATCTAATGGCAGAAACTGAGTTAAGGGACTATTCCATAGCAATAGATTTTCAGCATCCCATCTGAACACTAAAAGCTAGGCAACAGTAAGTCTGCGCAGATCAAGATAGCAAATTAATGCAAAGGGACTGCTGTAATAAAACTTCATACCCTAGCTTTATTTTGTTCTGGGAGACAACCCTACAAATATTTTGATTCATTTTCCACAGAAATGCAAGTAAGCATTCCTTTAGACTCTTCTGCATTTGCAGAACTCCTGAAAGGTATAGAACATTATGGTTTTCAGTATACTAGACTTTCATGCAAGACTAACACAAAAAATTTGACAACCAAACATTTCTCTAGAGAGGACTACCAAGTAATAGATGTAAATTTCCAGCCTTACCAGGTTTACTTTCAGCTTCTGCTTTTATCACTTCTGACGAGTTTTCAGTTTTTGTTGTACTGGGAAAATGGATTAGCTTTGTTCCAGGGGGATGGTTAGGTAATGGCTGTATAAACAAAAGAGAACTTTGTTAGCAAAATTCTTTATGAGGGTTTGTTCCCCCCCTCCCTTTTTTTTTTTCGTTAGGCTACAGAACATACTCAGGTTTTCATTAGCTGACATGATGCAAATGACCATCTGCAAGAGATTCAATGAGCTTTCCCATGAAGTAGTTCACTTACCTTAGCTACTTCATTACAGTTATAGTGATTAGAATTGTGTCTACTGATTAAAGATAAAAGCACAGCTTTTAAACTGGAAGCCAATCTCAGGACATTGCCAAATATACTTTTGCAATTGAATTTCAGCAGTTCCAAGTGTTACTCTTCCATTAGCTTGAAAATTGCCTCCTCTGGCACAGAACAGAGGCACTTATTTACCAGCTCTACTGAAAGTAACTCACTGACCACGCTTACTGTGGAATAAAGCAGTAATATTCCGTAGCCATTCACCACCTCAGATGAAGAGGCAAACAGTTTTTAACTATTCAGACAAAAGTAAAATCTCATGGAAACCCATCCAAGCTTCCCTTCACTCTTTGCAATTCATACAGAACAGGTGTCACTAGAAATTTCTCCTGAATCAAAGTAACAGACACGCAGTGCAACCAATAACAAGTTTCAGAGTTAACCTCTAACCAAAAATTGTCCTAATGTGAGTTTTTCCCCCATCCAGGAGACTTACTGAGCTGCCAGGAAGATTGAGACAGCTTCAGCTGCATCCACTTCTTCACAGTCTTATGAGCTACAAACACAGAATATGGTCTTATAGTCAGTACTTACCTGAGCAGCCCTAATAGCATTACTGATGTGAAAATTGCCATTGCCTTTAGTTACTCTGTTCATTTTCATTTATGGTTAAACTTTGCAGACTTGCTACTACCAAATGAAACTCGATTTACTCCTTAAAACCAGATAATGCCTGTGCACTGGCGTTTGGTACCTCTGACATACCATAGAGGAAGCCACAGTCACTTGGGATGTTCTTGGAGTACATATGCAATTTAACTTGCTCCAGAATGCTATATGAAGCAAGCACTAAAATAACCCAGCTATGGGATTAAACAAGCCCAACATAGAAATAGTTCTCTACATTTCCCTCTTCCAAGATGGGATGCAATTAGAAGTATGAGAGGCAGTTTAGGCAGGCAGGGTATAAATAGCCTGAGCCCAGTCAGGATGCTGGGACCAGCTGAAACTCCCTCTTGCAGGACCATATATACTCTTGAGCACTTCGGATACAGAGCTCAGCCTTCCTGTGCTGAAAAGTCTCAGAATTCCCCAAGTTAAAAACAACTATCTCTATAGTTTCCTGACGACAGCTTTTTTCCTTACTGGCTGAAAGACTGAAAATAGCCTTCCAGCATCCCTCCGTCTAGCTCCAAAGTGAGTAGAGCACAAATCCAACAAAGTCATCCAGAACCTTCATGAGAATTACCTCCCCAGGGCTCTCTATGTTGTTCTGTGAGTCTGTCCACCTTTCGGATGACCTTGGCAACAAGAGTAAGTGGAATATTAAGTGCTAAACTCAACTGTTTATTTCATTGTCTTTAAGCTATGCAAAACTAGTTTTGCACTTCATTTCCCTCTTTCTGAGAGATGGCCTATACCAACTTCCCAGGCAAGCCAACCAACAACAGAGCAACGACATATTTCAGTGTTTATACACAGTCAAATAACCCAATTCAAAATGTCTGAGCAGACTTTGTATTCATTGAAAATACTTTAGTTAGGCTCTTTATACTCCCAAAGTTACAAGGTTGCTCAAAGCCCCATTCAACCTGGCCTTGAACATTGCGAGGGATGGGGCAGCCACAGCTTCTCTGGGCAACCTGTGAGTGTCTCATTACCCTTATAGTGCAGAATTTCTTCCTTGTGTCCAAACTAAACCTACCCTCCTTCAATTTAAAACCACTGTCCCTTGTCCTGTTACTATAGATCTTGGTAAAAAGCCTCTTTCCATCTATATACTGAAAGGACTCAAGAAGGTCTCCTCAGAGGTTCTCCTCGGAAGCTGAACAACACCTTCCTTAAGAGATAACATTCCCTGAGCCTTAAATAGAAGGCAACACACTTGTAACTTTCATTTTCTAAATCATCAGATGTTTTGACAGGACCAGAAACAAAGAGGACATACACCATGTCTATCGGCGGATGAGCACTGCTCTTCACACTGCTACCAATGGAAAACACTTTCAAGGAAGTCTCTGTCCCCACCCTCTTCCTAGGGACTCCCCCCACCTTTTGCCCTGCACCATCACAATTATTTCCATGGCAGCAGAGAAAAGCAAATCACTCAGCAAACAGCATTAATAGCCATAACCCATGACAAAAAAAATAAAAAAGAAATTGCCCATGGTTTTAAAAGCTTTCTTTCATTGACCACCTGAGTAAAAACTGAAACGCTGGATTATCTCTGCTACCTTTAATTTATCAAGAGCTGCAAATCCATATAGAAGCTTTTGGCATAAACAACACATAAGTTCAAGATAAAGGACTATGTATCGCTGTTGTGCTTCCAAGGGATAACAGTTATCTCAGATCCAGACCAAAATAAATCTCAAACTAAAGCAATTCCACTATTGTCACATTATCTCCTCTGTCCTAAGCTTTAAGTTCAATATAAAGAATAAAATTGCCTTTTTTCCCCGCACTCATAAAAAGAAGAAAAAGAAAAGAAGATGCAAAATCGTAGAACAGCATTTTTCAGGTTTACACAATCACCGGTTCATGTAGCTCATTAACCTAAGACACCACCAAAGCCAAAAGCTTGGCAGCATTTACTGTAGGACATTTATACTGGTAATGATGGTTGACATCTAGAACACCAATCTCAACATCCACCAAAAAATGGCGGGGGGGGGGGGAGGGGAACAAAACATCCACCAAAAAATGGCGGGGGGGGGGAGAACGAAAAAAAAAAAAAAAAAAAAAAAAAAAAAGAAAAAAACTAACAAAAAAACCCCCAACATTCCTTGTTTTAAAGGCCAAGTCTAACTTGTATAGAAAGACTTAACAGTCTTGTCCCAGACCACACACATCTGTTACAAGAGACCTCATACTGTAGATGCATTTGAGAAGTTATTGTGTCTTACATCATACATCTTTGAAATGACAATTTTTATATCAGCTTTGTTTTCCCTCTCTGATATTTCAAATACCAAGATATTTGAAGAGATATTTTGGAATCAATGTTAAATATTACTTATTATAAAATAAGTTTGAGTGGGTTTGTTTTGTTTTCTAGGCAAGAGCCGCATAAGAAGAATATGGTCTGGATATGGAACAACATTGACAAATTTTAAAATGGTCAGTGTATTCAGCAGCTGTAAGATACTTCATCTTCAGATCCAAGTCTTCTAAGTTATTTTCATAGGAAACCCCCCCCAAAAAAAAACAACCCAGTGTAAGTCACTACAAACCTTATCTTGCTTTTTATCTTCTGACTCATTACTGGATAATCTTGTCTTAAGTTTCACTGAGCCTTCTTTAAAGATATCTCCAAACCCAACACCTCGGACTTTCTTTGGCTGTGCTGGTCCAGATGCAGGTTCAGTCGTATTTCCTGGAGAGGGCACAGGTGAGGTAGGACCACTGAAAACAGACTCTGAAAGGAGGGAAAAAAAAAATTTTGGTTTAAGATTGGAAATTATTTTCTCTTCTTGGGGGGGGGGAAAGAAAAAAAAAAAAAAAAGGAAGTGGGAGTAACATAACTGAGTGCACTGCTCTTGCTAAACATCTTCTTGAGGAGCATTATTGTAGCTGTAATACCTCACATTTGTTCCTGTTGTATATTTAACTTAAGAGCATTTGAAATGACACCAGTATTGCACTAAATACTCTGGGCTACTAAGTCATTAGATTGCTCATATTGCTTGCTATTCCAATTATCACTCAGGCTCCACAGCCTGTTAACATCAATGTTTTCCATTAGTTTTATGAAACACTGTTTATGCATTCTCTAAATATGAAGGTTTAGTTCAACATTTAAAAGCTTGTCATTTGCACAGCTACAGCTGCTGAAAGTGATAATCAATAAAAGTCCATAATGAGTCCTACCATGTTTCAGTAGCCACAGGGGGGAAAACAGTGTGTTTCAGCAACAGAATGCCTTTCTGGGCACAAAACCAAAATTTTCCTTTTGCTCAAAATGCACTGTCAAAATTACTTGAAGAGTTTATTGCAAATTTAAATAGCTTTTTAAGCTGGTAACACCTAAAACCTATTTTAAAAGAGTTCAGCATTCATATCAGATATAGTTGGCTGAGATAAATACTTGTGTTATCTACCAGTGATTAAGGATTCTTTAAATCTTTCAGTCTTAAGGAACAACATTTATCCACCCCCAAAAAATGTAGTTAAAGAAATCTTAATTTATGTGTTAGGAGCTTTTAAGACCTCTATATTCCCACCACCGCCCAACTTTTTTTTCCTCTTTTTTTTGTTTTGTTGGTTGGGTTTTATTATTTTTTCCTTTCCTTTTCTTTTAGGTTGCAATCAAATCTGTTAAAACCTACAAACTAGCATTCATAGGCAAGCTATTTCCACATGCAGAATGCCAGGAGATGGTAATGTAAAAGTAGAGAGCTTTTAGAAACCAAATTCAAAATAGCATCCACATCTTTCAGCTTTTCAGTTAAGTTCTTTTCAGTGTCTGCATGTCTGGAAATTGCAATAAAGATTAAAGCCTCTTCCTTCCACCATAAATTTATGGTATTTTCATAATACTGTGAAGTTACATCGCTCTTGACTTCAGTATCTAACTTTTTCTCAACTGAGTTACTACCCACTTAGTTATATCCCTCTTAGACATCTAAAAGGATAGCTAGATATTTCATTGATGAGTAAAGCTTGCACATTTGAAAGACCACAGTTCAGCAAATGGAGGTACGGAGAGAACTAGCAGATACTTGAGATCCTGATTGTGAACATACTGAACATTAAATAACCTCTGGGGGGTAACGGGCTGAAAATCATAACTTGTTAGTTAGTGGCAGAAAATGTAATTGCTTCAAATTACTGTTCTGTCACACTGATCTCAGTGTTCAGGAATTAAGACTAACACATGCCCATTTGTAAATTCATCTCTCCAGACCCCACTAAATTCAGGGAACTTGACTTCCAAGGAGACAGCCGCTGAGCTATTTGGGACTGCTGAAGTCAAACAGCTCTTGTTTTAAGATTCTGCAATTATTCCTACAACTTAGAGGGAAAAAAAACATTAAAAAAAAAAAAAAATCCAAGCCAGGCTTTTCTTCCCTATCTCTGAGCAAACCCTTGTCAGAAACAATCAATACTGAACATCTTGTAAATGAAAGTGTGCATTACTAAGAAGAAAAAAAAAAAAAAAAAAAAACACTTTTCCCCTTGAACATACACAGCTGTCTTCAAGCATCGATTAACTTGCATTAAGTTGTTGTTCCCAAAGAACACTCCCATTCTAGTAGTATCATATCACAAGTCCCCAGCCTTCAAACAGGTCTTCATAGACAGAATGCCTCTAAGGTGCAGTTTTAAGGGAACAAGTAACTGCCTGTAAAGCATGCACCTGCCTGACACCATTCAGCACTCACAGTCTGTCTGCTTCTGCCCAAGCTATACAGCCATAGCCACAAAGGAATGCTAAATGTAAACACATCCTTAAAAACATTTTATTGTTAGATTAAAACAGTGAAGAACCAGGGCCCCCTTCTCAGGATTCTTTTTAAGTTGAATCAGAACAGTACAAAGAGCCTCAATTCAAGTTTTAATTCTCAACTGACACAGTTAAACACTTAAGTTCTGTGTTAGAGAACTCATGTCTGTGAGAATAAGACTGAGAAAAGCTATTAAATGGAAAAGCTCAACTTTGAATATGATCGAATTTTGAGTAGTGATAAAATGCAGAATGTACATTTGCAAGATCAAGACCTTGACTGCAATTTTACTACAAGTGCATTAGGAGCAGGACAGGTATCTTCATAGCTAGCATTGATATTTTCTAGAATTACACTAAATACTTCCCGTTCTTAGGAAGCTTGAATTCTTTACAACTTTTGTTGTGATATAACCATAACACTCCAAATTCTGGCTGAGATCTAAAATGACTTTGCTAAGGGTTTACAACAGAATACCACCTGTGTCATCCAGAGAGTCCTGTGTTTCTCCATCATCCACCACTTCCAATTCTTTCACAAAGTTTGAAGGAAACAACCCTGTCCTGCCATTTAGTGTTCCACTCCACCAGCCTTCTTCTACCTGTGTAGAAATATTTTGCACATTACTAATAAAGCAAAAGGCAATTCTTATCTATTCCGCCTATGCTTCATTTATAAAACTCTACAAACAACTCTGTGGAAGTTCAAATGACCATGATTTTTCTTTAAAGAAGCTTTCCAAAGATGTAGAAAAAATAGGCAAAAAGAAGAGCAAGAAAACATTTTACTGTCACTTCAGCAATGATCCTGAATCATGACACTAGCCCCTGCCAATTAATCCAGAACAGCAGCAAGATGTCCATCAACCTTCTCAAGGTAAGACAGAATAACAGGCATTACACATTTAACAAGAAGAAAAGATCAAACTGCTTAAGAAATGAAGACGCAGCTTTTAACCTGGCTTTCTAAGAAAATTTTTGTGGATTCTTGTTGTCCATCTATCTTTTCCTTCATATGGTCTAATTTCTACCCAGTGCTACTCCCACTGGCCTCATACCCATTAAACAGTTTCAAACAATTTTGATCAAAAGGCACAAGTTTCAAAGATACAATTCATACAGATAATGTTGGATAGAACAGAGAAAAGTCCTTCAGGGCATCACAGAGTAATGGAAAACTAAGCTGTCCATTCCTTCTAACAGGAGGAAACTGGCTGAATAGCACATGCTTGGCTCTAGTTGGGTCAGAAGGTACAGACACGTTCCCATCAGAGCTGGCCAGCTGCCAACAGTAGCCAAGGTGCACCAGGATTCTGTGGTGGCACACAGCAGTCCTAAGGACAGAAGTCTGCTGGATGCCAAATTTTGTTGGCTTTGCTATTCACAAAACCACTCATTTTTGCACTGGAAAGAAACCCATTCAGGAATTAGGGAACATAATGACTCCAGTGCTCAGTTATGTGCTTGGATTCCTCATGTGTCATTTACACTGCAATACTTACATTTAATGGAATATTTATGAGGAATAGCCCATGGTCCGAAGCAGAACACACAACAGCTGGGCATACATAGGTGACATTGTAAAACGGGGCCAGAAGACTGAGTAAGAATTGTGCTTTTCAAATTTATGAGCAGTTTTCAAAGTGTCTTAAATAAATCAAATGTATTTGCCTAATGAGCACCATTTAAAAACTATAATTAACAAATTTTCAAAAATATTTCATTTTGATTGCTATTTCAGGGCTGGAAAGCTGTTTTGAGACAAGAAAGAAAAGCAACGGGGGAAGAACAAACAAGGCAAGCAGCAGTTGTTTACATTATCTTTTTTTAGCCATGTTTAGTAGGTCACTACGCCTGACACACAGGCACAGTTTTTAAATGCCAGCCTACCTTCAGGCAAGCAAAATGCATGCAAAACCTGGCAGCTACAGAGACAGACAGGCAATGAAAAGAACATTGTTACTTTAAAAGACTTTCTGGTGCTTAAATATAGCTTAGCTGTGGATGGTTCAAATCCAGAGTCTGGTCCTCTGAAACAAATTTTAAGCCCAGATTACTTGCAAGCGCTGACCTGGCTCCAGCACCTTGTGCTTTACATAGCATATTACAGAATACTATAACTCGAATGCCCTGACTCACCGAGAACCATGAGAAAGGGACTTTTAATGCTTATGATACAGAGAGCAACTGGAGCATCCACTTATTCTTCTGCCAAGAAATAATTTCAGCAAAGCACTTTACAGACTTGCAAGTCAAAGTGATGCCAATTCAGAAAGTGTCAGCAATGAAACAACAATTTCTCGAGCATACTTGCTTTAGCCTCCTCACCACTTTTACAGAAACCTGACTATATACAAACTGTGTTACCAGAAAAGCTATCTTTAATCATCATTAAAATACAGGTTTAAAAAGTTCTACATGCTTTGTTGGAGAACATCTCTGTATCTCTGCCATCTGCCTTGTTAGGGCCCAATTTCACAACTCATATCTTCCATTTCAAAAATCTTACCACATGATACAATTTCCACAACAGGGAGTTACAGCTTTGGTACACATATCAGTACTTTTATTTTAGCGTGAATTCTACCAACTTATTTTTGTAAGATAACGAAAACTCAGACTTCTAAACAAAAGGGGAGTAAAAAAAAAAAAAAAGCTGAAACAAGAAGTTCTGCAGAACTCCACTGATGGAGTCATGTGAATTTCAATTATGCTTGATAACACAGCATGCAAATACTACAAAAATAAATCTGCTATTTAGCACCACATCTGACGCAAGTGGGGGGAAAATATAAAGCAGCAACAAAGGTGTTACAGCAATGATACAGTTATCCCACTCATTTTGTGCATGTAATTTGCACTTAAACCCCACATGTTCTGTAAACAAAACCCCTTGTGGATTCAGCCAGAACAGAGCACAAGAGCCTTCTTCCCTAAATGCTACTTCTGATCCTTGTAGCCTGCTCTCTTCAATATTAGCCGTTTATTCTGATCCCATCTCCCTCCACTTTTGATTTCACTATCAGTAGTGTCAGTTGTAACTACTCAATTTATGAAAACAATTTCAAGGGCTAAATACTCATTCTCAGGTATACCTCATCCCTAGCAGCGTTCAAGGCCAGGTTGGACAGGGCTTTGACCAACCTGGTCTCATGGAAGGTGTCCCTGACTGTGGCAGGTAGGTTGGAACTAGATGGTCTTTAACCAACTCAAACCATTCTGTGATTCTGTAACTGGTAGAGCAGATACCCTCATGGAGCTGATTTTATCTTATTTTCCCAGTTTTAAGAAGTGACCAAACAATCTTTGCTTGATGTAACAGTTATGAGTTGCCTACATAGATATAAATTGCATCTTTTACATATTAATGGAAGTGAATCATTTCACAATACTGAAGACAAGATACTCAAGACAAGGTATCCCAGCATACTGCACAACCAAGAGAATGTATTTTCTACCATTTTTCCAATTTCTGGTCTACCAGTACAGTTTCATGATGCAGAGCTAAGGTACACCTGTCAGGTCTACTCTACACCATCATAAAAACAGCATGCAAACAGGATAGAAACTATGAGTTAGCTACAATATTTTTTCTACCTGACAGCATTTGGGAAAAAAACAACACAAGAATAAAGTAAAACCCATCTTTCCTTAAGAAACCAGATGAGGAAATGCTTTGATCTTTTTATTCTGTTTGGCTACTTGGATCATCTCTATTGCATCACACTGAAGACCCCTCCTAAAATAATTCCAGATGTTGACACATGTGACCTGAAACAGCAGCTTCTGCAACAGCTTAGTGCACATGCTGCCTCTCATAATGCTTCCGTTGGGCCATCTGAAGTCATAACTGCTGTGTACAGGCACTACTCAAATTAAACTGGTGAGGTTATCCAGGAGCACTCTGTTACAGAACACCCACTCACAATGATCCTTATGAAACTGTGATTTTAGTGAGCAGGTTTTACATGTCACTTGCTCTGTTTATTCAATTCCATAAACCATTAGTGCAAATGTATCTAAAGGCATAACTTCTTCCTTGTTAGGAAAATGGAAAAGTCCTTCCTGGCAACTGTCAGCATCCTAAAGAATTAGCACTCTCTTCAAAAGATGTCACGCATGTGAAAAGCACAGCCTCATAAAGCTACTTACAAAGCACCCCCAGACATATGGCCAGGAAGAAATCTCCTTACCCAGACCTTCAGGAGCATAGTAAGAAGAGATGTCACAGTGAAACTCAGAGCATGCCACGCAGAAGTTTTCCACCTAGTTCTGAAAAGGTTCCTGCCACAATCACTCTAGTCTCTTCCACAGGGTCCCTGACAGATTTTGCTCTTGTAAGAGGTATTCTTCCCACATATTCAAGCCTCCCACAATACAAGTTGCTGTTAAATGGAACAGATAGCAAGGAAGCACGTAGGTTGGAGAACAAACCCCACCCTAAACCCCTACTCACATGCAGAAAGCCATTGCCATCACTGTCTGAACATCAAGACATATCTTTAACTGTATTTCTTCAGTGAAAAAGGAAGGCAATAGAAATAATAACATGCTATTGAGAGCATTTATATGCTCTATATTTTTGTGCAAGCGGCTGATGTATGTTGTATTACAGATACAGGCTTCTATGCTGAATACTGTTACTATATTAGTTCAAAGCTTCAGTGAGTTTGCAAGAAAGCATGAGACTGGAAAAATCAGGTCAAATAACATTTTTCACCTAAACTGAGTAAGAGTATATCAACTTAAAAGCCACTGGTCGAACAGTTTTAGCATAAACATCCTAAAAAACAAGATCACAGACAGGGCCAAAGAACTGTAAAAGTCTTTCAAAAAAGGAATCTGTGTAACAGATCATATTTATTGCTGTGATAATCAAATGCTTCTCATAACATCTAGCATCCATTGATTTAGGATTAGAACCTGAAAGAACTCCTAAACTTAGCTTCAGAAACACTACTTCCCATGTTATTCTTCTAACATCCTTGTAATTCATTTAATCAGACAAAGAAACAATTTGACTTTTGGCCATATAAAGAGACTATCAGCTCTGTAAAACAGCTTACCTCTTCACTGATGTCAATCACATCCCCCAGCTTGAGTTCCAGCTCATCCTCATTCTGTGGGACATATTCAAAGAGCACTTTACACTGCCGCTTCTTGGACCCTGGTTAAAGGAAATGGCAAAAGTAAGAACTCTGGTAAAGAAAACTTGTTTTCTGCAGTTCCTGAGGGTTACATCCGACCAGAAGACCCACAAACTAACCTGAAAGTCTATGCAGATTTTGCTGCTGGTTTTCCAGTTTGTCTGTGTCACTTTAGGCTGGCAAGCTGTATTTTGGAACTTGAAAATCATGGAGCTTCACAGACTGCCAATTACAAACTAATGCTACACTGCCAATTACAAACATGCCATAGAAAACATGTTGACACAAGCAAGTCAGATAAACCCTCACTACAATGATTTTTCAAGCTGTTTCCTGAGCATAATCTGCAGGAATGACAACCACTGCCAGCTGCAGTGTTAGCACCTGCTTGGAAGAAAATGTGCAAATTTGAGCCTCCACTCTTAAGCAATCCTGAAAGAAGTAACACGTTTTGTTCTGCACAACAGGGAAATGCCAACAGCCTTTCTGTCCTCTAACAAAGACTTTGCTAACTACAGCTCTGAGGTAATGCTAACATTTGCTTGGCTCATATTTCAAAATCCAAACTCATTTTTATCTGCCAATGCAAAGCCCCTCCCTTTTCTCAGTACCAGTATAGAGTTGAGAAATTCAACCTAAGCTTCAACTAGCAGTGTTTAACAAAGGCAAAATTAAAATATAGTGCAGTCTTTAGATGTTTACCATGTAACATTAAAGCTTTGCAGGCAGTAAAAAGACAAAGTGACATCCCAAGAGGGGAGAGCATTGAAGTGGCTTCCAACAATTCTTCCAGCCAGAGTGGTGTGAACCTACAATTGCCCAATTACTCTGCACATATCCTGGAGTGATGCTACTGCTGAACTCAGAGTTCTCCTTCAAACAAGTAGCCATGCCTTCAGACCTTTTCCACAACAGAGCAGCCAGCGTGCTTTTGAAGGCAATTGTCATCCTGAGCTATGACCCACACAGGATCCCTAAACTCCTTAAAAAAAAATCTGCCACAGTTTAAGAGAATATATGAAACAAATGCTTGAAGTGGTAAAGCTTAATCTTGTAGAAGCTGTATAGTTTCCATACTCTCTTGTACTTTGCACTCCTTCCACACTCGAACTTCAGCAATTAAGATTAGCAATTAAGTATCAGAACACAGATACTGCCTCCAAGATTGATCCTTGTCTTATTATAGCAGAGTTCGAAGTCCAAAGACATTTAGAAGACCACCTTACCGAGCATCCTCTGTACAAAACACCAGGCATCCAAATAATACTCAGCATCTAAAATTTCTGAGAGGGCTCACCAAATCAAGAATTTTCTGCATGCTGGTATATGGTCTGTGCTCTAAAGAGCATAAAAGGGGCAGGAAGCAAATAAACCAGAAGAATGAAGCTCTAGGAGTTATTTCTAATAACACATAATTGCCCACCTAATACACCCTTCTTTTAACTCCACTGAAACTCATATATCAGCCCAGAAGGATTGTTAGGTTAACAGTAGTTGCAATAAACGGTTCACTGGCCTTTACTACCTCCTACCGCGCTTTCAGAGCTCCTTCTTTGTATGAGATTAACCGATACCAGAGAAAAAGGCACATTAAAAAGTCATGGCCATTTTGTATAAATCTGATCTCAGCATTCCTTTTCATATTGCAATTCTATCTAAATGGGGAAGAGGGGAAGAAAAAAAAAAAACCCACATACACATTTCACATGCAGAACTCACACAAGGTCTGATTTCAGTGATATGTAGTTCAGAATGTACTGCCTTCCAGTTTTGAAAATTCCTAGACTAACCTAGAAAGCTAGGAAATCTGCTTGGAAAAAACCACTCCAGCTTCACATGGTGCAGGACTACTGGGCTGTAAGCCCTCAGGCAACTGTTTCCAAAACAACTTGCCTGGCTTCAGGTTTTATTTGTTTTGTATGGAGTAAACCAAATTCAGCCCTTTCTTGCTGTAATTTAACACACCTTCTGTATTTTCCTTTTTCTGAACAAAGGCAGCCATCTAACTGATAGGAATAGAGCCTACATCTTAGTACCCACCTGGTATAAGATACCTGAGAGCAATGTATATGAGAAAAAACACAAGGGATACCCTAGGCAGAGACAACCTCACTGCACACTGGAACCTTGCTATCAAAGAAGCTTAACTTAGTTGTTAACATTGTAAACCTCATTTCACCAGGTTAGGAACCAGAAACAGGAAGACAACAAAGCACTGGGAATCTTTTGAAGTGAGTGAATGACTGCCCAGGCACAGAGCAAATAGGATCTGCAGGAGCTGTTTAAACAGTCTTCCAGGAAAGAGGGAACAGCAAGTAAAATGGAAATGCAGAGACTGTCATCATGCCAAGTAAACAGTTGTGTGCTTAAAGGAAGGTACGTGAACACTACTTTCTTCTAGGAGAATGAGACTAACCAGAGAACTGCAGAGTTTGAAACCCAGGTTGTACCTACTACCCTGGCCACAGCCACCAGCACAAGACATGCTATATATGACATCATTCTAGGGTTTCGGAGATGAGCAGGACAAGTAGGCAGCCTCTGAACTAGTATCAGATCACCTTCTTAGAATCACAGAATCCTAGTTGGAAGGACCTATAAGGATCAGGTCGATCCCCTTTCAGAGCCTGGTGGCATTAATCTGGGAACAGCATTAATCTTTCAGGATAGATTTTCAAAAGCCTGCAGATGCAAATATCTAACAGGCACTTACACACTATTGCAAATATGCATATAGAGATCAAGTCACTAAAAGTGATTTTTAAGGTAATATCCTTAGTTGTCTAGAAGATGGTTTCAACAGATCTGTAAATCTGGTGGTCCCATTTCAGGGTTTTAAATGACAACTAGCGGTTCTTCTCCTTTTATGGGCAAAACTTCAAAGCATAAACAGACCAGAAACAGTAAGTTCAGAATTCTTTCTTTAAAAAAAAAAGAAAGCTTAAATCATAAATGCCTGTAATCCCTTGTAAGAGAGAGGAAGCCAGAGTAATTTAAAGCAGTGTCTCTTATAAGTGTCCAAATACAAATCACAGGTCAATTTTCTGGATGCAGGGAACACTTAGTTCTTTTGCTCTGGATTTTAGTCATCTTTTTAAATACAAGCATTAAAACGCAGAAAACCACAGATAGAGAGGCACCAAGTCTGTACTCCTGACCATCCTGAGTTACAATCAAAGGAAGACCACCACAATTTTTCTTAGACACCACCAACTCCACCTTATTTCACACTAAAAGCAAGCCTACCAAACAAGAGGAAGCTGAACTGCAGAATGTCTCCTTGTCACAATACCCTGAATTTCCAGCAGAACTTTTATGTTCAAAAGAAATGTCCACAGGAAGATTTTTGATTATCATGAAGAGGCCTACAGTTCTCATTCAGGTACCTGACACGATACATGCAGGGCTCACATGAAGCTACAGATCAAGTCTCTGGAATGTGGAAAGGGCTAAATCCTGTTCCCAGGAAAATTCATCTTTACTGCTGCTGTTGAGAAGTACATGTAAGTTTTCTGCTCATACATCCAGGAGCAGAATCAAAGCTTTTCCTACTATGTCTCTAGTTTTCCATATAACCTTAAAACTAAGTCAGACATTAAATAATTCATGTTTATTAAAAAAAAATAAATAATTAACATCAGCAGCTTACACAATTGAAGGAATTGGAAAGACTACATACTCTTCTTGAAGCTTTTGGATGGGGGATGAGGCTGAAATCCTCCTGCTGGAAGCCCATAGGTGCTCATACGTTGCACAAGACTGGCTACATTGCCAGATTTCTCCCTCCTGACTGGTACGGCATCATCCTTGGGTTCTACATCCTTCTTAACTTCCTGAAACAAGAGATTTAGAAGACTGAGAGGCCATTGAAATTACCTAAGAAGTCAGTGTTTTTAGACAAGCACTGCATAGGCTAACAGATTTCAGGTACTTACCATCTGGTGCGCGCTGATGTATTATACTCAAAAGTCATGGCATCCTGCAACTAAACATACTAAAGGCCTTAATAAACTTAACCCTTCCATATAATCATATTAGTAAACAAGTAAGCTAATGTGCTGAGAAAACTGAGGAACAGGCAGTATTTTAGCCACCCACTCCAACCATAAGTAGCTTTGAGCCCAGAAGTCTCTTATTACAACTCTTAAGTCACAGCTCATTTGAAAAACTGTTTCAAAATATAAATATGACTTCAATGACATACTAAATAACATATTTTAGTATATAAAACTGTATTCGGTGATCAGCTCCACTTCAGAAAGCTCAAAGGTTTTTGTTACAGAAAAGATACAATCATACTGCTGAAAGACATGAGTGGAAAAAAGTGAGATACAAGAAGCAGAGTGGGAGGAACTGAGGGGAAAGGTGTAGGAGGAAACTAACAGACACTATTTTTCTCATAAATGTCTCCCACCTTCCTATCTTTCTAAATTAAGGTGTTAGGATTGGAACTGAATGTGCTAATCAAGACTAAGAAGCCTAAAAAAAAGAAAGCACCAGTTCTTGACAGAAGAGGCATTGTACACAGCACTTACTCTGCTGCATCAGCTCGTTAAATGAGATTCCACCAGAGAACTGATACTCTGAAAGAAGGAAGTCATCACTTTGCACAAGAAGAAACCCATTAAGTCAGATCAATGGCCCATCTAGAGCATAACAGCTCCCAACAGCTGCAATCCCAGACGCTCTTTAGAGAGCTAGCTTGCAACACAGATCCTCCCACATTCCCAGAGCACCCATAAGGGTTTCATTAAGGAGATACATCCTCTCCTTTCTCATTTTCAGATCTGCAGATGAAGCTGCCTAATCCCTTTTTGCGCCCACGGTTCGGTCTGCCTCCGCAGCTTCCTTGGGGATAGACACCAGATATTCACTCTTTGCTACTTAAAGAAGCTCCTCTCTCTCTCATCTGCATTAAGCTGCCACTTTACCAGTCCCAGTGCGTGGTCCCCATCACTGTATTACAGTTTATCGTTACCTTCATGGCTGTGTAAACCTTGATCATATCTCCCCTTGGCTCCACCCTCTCAACAGTCCCAGCCTTGTCAGCCCCTATCTCACCAGGCAGTAGCTCCATCCCCTAAACTATCTATTTAGCTGCCTGTTCCCTTACTGGTCTCAACAGATTTGATGACACCTTGCATCCTGCTGGTGTTTTGGGCTGTCACTGCACTCAGAGATAAGAAGTTTGAAGAACTGAAAGCAAAAGTATGACATACCTATAAACTGATGCTCAACTCGCAACTGGCAGTTCTATGTAAGCATGATATAGACTACCTTTTCTTGTACGTATTTCTTGGCATCTACCTATCTCCAAGCCACCCTTTCCATCTGCTTAGGTTGTCGTCATCAGCATGGCATACATAAAGAGTTTTACAGCATAAGAACTACATAAGAGTTTTACAGCATTCACAAAATGGAAGTATGCTCTGTCAAACTCCCTCTCCAAATGACCAGAGATACTGAACAACGCTAGTACCGCAACTGGCTCCTGGGGACCCCATCACTGACTCTCCTTTACCCTGACAAATTACTGATAAGTTGTTTGATTCTTATTTTTTAAGTATCTTCCAATCCATAAAAGAATTCTTTCTTCTTTGGTTCCATGGCAACTTCATTCCTTCAATGACTTGACTGAGAGCTTTATCAAAGACTCTGAAAACCCAAATGTGTTACATCCACTGAATCTTATGTGCCTGTGTGCTTAGCAAGACCCTCAAAGCCCATCAGCTTTTCCACTGCAGCATTACAATGTCTTGAGGAAAGCAAACACTCATAAGTACTTTGTAGCTTTTTGTGATCCACTTCAGAACAATTCTTGCATTCACCATCAGTAGCCACTGGTTAACAACTCCACTGGTTACTGCAGCTGTAGCTGCAATAAAATATCTAATAATATTTGAAAACAATATTGGCAATGCATATACATATATATGCATATATGCTTACTAATGTTGTGTGAACACGAACTTTAAAACAACAAGACCCATGCATTGATGAAATGCCAAAAACATGAGAAAGATTCACCAGGACCTATGTGGTGCTCTCTGGAACATTAACTTAAAAGTAACCTGGGGCTTAATGTTCAGGAGAGCACCACATAGGTCCTGGTGCTTTTCAGCTGTCCAGCTGAAAAACTCAGAGGTCTAGAAGTCTACTGATGCTTTCCAACCTACTGCAAACCTCAAGTCAAACAGTCCAAAGCACCTTCCTATTTCCCAAAAGAGCAGAGCCAGTAGAATAAGCAAGACTACAGGCAGAACAAATTTTTCCTCCCGCTTACCTACATTACATAAAGAGGCTTTACAGAAAACAGGTGAGTAGTTCCTGCTGTGGACAGAGCCTTGGGCGACATAGTTTAGTGTGTGGTGTCCCTGCTCATGGCAGGGGGGTTGGAACTGTCCTTTCCAACCCTAACTGTTCTATGATTCTATGACTTCTCATCTGGAGATCTTAGCCCTGCTGAGATCCCATCCTCCAAGCCAGACACACACAAACACACACACCCCAAGCACCAGAAAAACACAGCATCCTGTCTACCTTCCATCTGAGCAGACATTTTACATTTCAAAGACTTGGTCATTCTCAGTCTTACTGTTGTTTATTGTCCAGTTATTTGCAAGTCTGATAAACCATAAGGAATTACATCTGGCTGCAGCTGAAAAGTTTTCCACCTCCAAAACACCTTTCTAGTTGCCTTACTCAAGACCATTCTGCTCAACTCAAAAACATAGTGGTGCGTAGAAAGTTGCCTAGAGGGGTTCTGTCTCTGAATTTTCTAAATTATAATCTTTTGCCATGCAATTTATACAGCCTCCAAAAGCTTCCAGCTGCTCCAGGAACTAATGCCTTCCCCAGTTAACCAGTTTCTTAGTCGTAACACTTGCTGATGAGGAGTCAGCTCCAGGCTCCTTCCCCAGGCCTGCACTTCACACAAGACTTCAGAAGCAGCTGCTTCAATAACTTTGTGAAAAGCAGAGAGATGCAAAAGGGGAATGGGGATGACAGGCAGCCTGGTGAAAAATATCACCTCCGTCTCTTTTTTATTTATTAGAAGAAAAAAAAAACCCCACAAAGTAAAACCACACCTCACACACCGTTTCCAAGTGCTAGAACAAGCTGTAAGGTAAACATCACCTTCACCAATAATTTGAAGTAAACAGACAGTACACTTTTAAGTTCAGAGGTAGTATTAAAGGCAGCAAAGTAATTGGCAGGTTACAAACAACAGGGAACAATTTGAGACAAAAGCAATAACCACTACAAATGACTGAAGACCAAAAATAGACAGAGAAATGCTTGAGCAAGCATCTTTTTTGCCAGGTTAAAGTCAGTAATCCAAGTAGTGATGGGTAGGAAACTCAGAAGCCTAATACAAGCCCAGGAATGACAAATTTGAATAGAAAGTATAGATTAAAAAGTAAGACCTAAAATAATTCTGTGAGTAATCTTGCAGTCAGATTTAAAGGCTGAAGATTTATTGATCAAGTGATCAGACACAGAGAGACTGGTAGCACCAGACTTTATGAAAGTTGAACACATAAATATGCAGTTAAGAGAAAACATCCTAATCCGAGACACACAAAAGGAAAGAAGATGCAATGAAAAGATCAAGGTGACTAAAGGAGCAAAGTACAAGTCAATCAGATTTACGATGAGCAGACCTGGGCAATGGACCAATACCAACCATGCTTGAGTCAGTCAACAGTGACATTTTGCTTCCTCTATCAGAAAGCACTCTGACTGTAGCATCACATGAAGGTGCTTTGCAACAAGCAGAGGAAAAATACCCACACAGGAATCTGCTGCTGCAGCAGGTAGTGACAAATCTAGTTTTGACAAAGAACTACAGAAGAAGGGGTTAGGAAGCAGTGCATGGATAAGCCAGAAACTGCATTTTCCATATTAACCTAAGACTCTTTAAAACACCCTTGTAAAGCAAGCACTACTTCCCCCACTTCTTGTTCCAGAGGAACTACAGCATTAATTATCCTTCCTCAGGGCATTAAAAACCACATTATAACCAAACCAAGTTAAAGCAAATTCAGGAATCCCTGGTCTCCACACCTGCATGTGGTCCACTATACCACGGCCTGTATTTCACATCAGTCCTCAAACAGTAAGAAACTGCTCTAAGTTACATTTTCAAAAGCATCTTAGGATCCTCTGACATACATACTATCACCATTTCCAGCAGCTTTACCCTGAGCATCATTATTATGACTCTCTGAGCTTTTGGACACATTAATATTTTTTACAGAAGGTGTAATTTTTAAACAAGACACCAGTTTGGCTCTCCGAAAACTGCCACTAATTGATGCAAATATTAATAAATGCCCCATTAATTACAGAATCACTGAATAGTTTCGGTTGGAAGCCACCTTAAAGATCATCTATAGTTCCAACTCCCTGCCATGGGCAGGGACACCTTCCAGTAGACCAGGCTGCTCTAAGACACATCCAACCTGGCCGACTGGTGTCAGTGTCTCACCACACTCACAGGGAAGAATTTTTTTCCTAATATCTAATCGAAACCTAGCACTTCTCAGCTTAAAACCATTCCCCCTATAATAAGAGTCTACGATTAACACTAAATTTTAATAAGAGGTTGTAATTCTTATATGTCTGTTCAAAGAGCTGTCTCGATTTTCAGTGGTTGGCAAATGACACTGTCCACAGGTCTCATCTCCCAGGTACGACTATAACCAACCTGAACATGCCCAGGACGCCTATTCATTGGCTTCACAAGTAAGGCATTTTTCTTTCTTTGTTTTTGTTAGGTTTTAAGTAAGCCTCATATATCTAAACTATCAGAAAGAGTCTGTGCTGTGAC